GTTTTTCTGTAGTGAACTAATTACTAAGGCTATTGGAACCGTTTATGTTATAATTGCGCGTGATATTCATTTTCAGATCAGTCATATAATGTTAACTATTTCAATGAAATCTTTGCAGGATAATTTTAAAATTCAGAGGAGAGTCAGACATTTATAATGCTCAATATTTTAACCCATCCCGGTATTATTTTGTGTTATCATATGCCAGAATCAAGTTTTTCATTATCTCAGGTTGATTTTATACCATCTGTTCTGCATGCCTTTGACATTTCTTTAATTGTATATCGTTTCAAATTGTGGGTAAGATTTTTTAATTCGCAAGCACCGCCCATATTTGTAGGTTTTTATTCGTAATAATGTACAGTTAATTGTAATAATCATTTACTTAATTCTGCTATAAACACAACAGTATATTTAAAAAGCGATCTTATTGCTAAAAAAACATCAGATTCAATGATATAAAAAATGGCCTTTTTCAAACTCAAACTTGAGAACTAAGAGTCTTAAAGGAAGTATGTACAAGTACTGAATATGATACCTAGAGCTGTGAATACTTCATCCTAATTATTTTGTTGATTTGAGTTCAGATCTTGCTTCGTGACCTCCTTTTTTATATTGTCGTTCTGTAAAAGTCATTCTTTTATGCTCTGCAAAAGAAGGGAAATGAAAATTAGAATAATTATCCTGTTCCGCTGCACATTCAATAATCTGAAATTGGAAGTTTTTCATTCAAACCTCAGAAATAAAAAAATTTTGCAGCAGAAATCTGAAAAAAAATTCTATTATGGAAATGACGGCACCTGCTGCGCAAGTTCCTGTTGGATGCTAGCATCTGCTAATGAAGCAAGGTAGACAAGATTTCGATGAAGAAGTTGCTGGTACTGAAGAGCATCATTTGCCCTGAAACGAAAATTAATCTTATTATAAATTCTTTTCCAGTAATTTTTCTTTGACTATAAATGATACAGTGAGCATAATGAAAATAAATGATCAGGGATTGGAAATAACTGTCGGGGTATAGTACTCATCATTTTTCTAATTTGCTGATAAATTAGAGTGATCAAAAGATATGATCACTCAAAACTGTCACTATAATTAGCAACTTCACTAGACGTTTGCTGTTTGGGGGTTTCAATTTCATTTACAGAACTGATTATTTATGAGCAGATATGCAAAGAATCTTGAACGAACCTTCCCATGTTTTGGTATCGCACGATAACTTTAATCAACTGACCATTCTCATCAAGCATTTTTTGAATTGTGGCTTTATCCGGTTTCGCTCCAATTTGTGCACTTCCCGCAAATGTTAATGACATTTTCCCTACAGTCATTCTTTCGACATGAAAAAGTCGTTGAACTGTATTTATGTGTATGAACAACGTCGAATAATCAAAGGTCTAAAAACCATCATATGCTACAGTTTTCTCTGCTAGTTCTTAAAATTGATGTTAAAAAGACAGCAAATCTCGAGTGCTCTCCAAATTACTTATTTTTTAAGAAATACTATCATCATAATTTGTAATTTACTAATGCGCTATATGAATATGACGACCAGTATAACGACGGAGATGGCAAACCGTAAACAATCCAGGAAAAGGCTGCAATCTGACAACATAAAACCCAAGCGACCATGGTGACCGTTAAAACTATCTAACTTTTTTAATGAAGTCAATTCACTTAAACAATCATATCCCTGTCAACTATTCAAATGTTTATATCCTCAAGTGACAAACACAAACTAGAATAATAAATTTCTTCTGGTTTAACAACCATAGTAAATATGTGAATGACAAGTTAAATATGATGAAAGCTTTATTAGTACAGAATATTTTGGAAGCAAGTGTACATTGTTACAAGTCAAATTTCTTTAAAATATCTGCCAAATCTAAAATCTGTATTCCTTTATACTAAATGGGACCAAAAATCATTTACGATTATCTGGCGAAAGACTATAGCACTTTAACATAACAATGTACAATATAAACCATATGTGCCATTTGGATGCTATCACGACAGGAAGAGTGCTTATTAACTGTCAACAGTTGCATCAATTACAACTTAATCAGTTAAATTGGCAGCTATAAGCATTTGAAAATGAAGTATGATAACGAGGACATAACGGTTTAAAATAAATAATTAACTTGACTTGACCTGCAAGTGATTGTCATGTGCAATTACTTATTTGTAACTCTTGTTCGTTTATTCCACGAAAAATTCTCTGCATAACTTTTCGGCTTAATTATTCGTTCATTTGGTTCAATTACTTCATAATTCAAATTGTTCGTTTCACAGTACCGAATCGCATCTTCCTTCGATGCAAAATCCATGGTCATAGAAATATTACTTAATGGATCACCCCTGCAAATAAGAAACACTAAAGTTTTATATTTATGATAATTCAATTCACTGGATATTTAGTCCGTTATTATATAAAAAAAATCTTCCAGCACTTTAGGACGAATAAATGGAACTTAGTTCTTCATTATTTTAGATTACCCCATTCTTTGTTATTAGATAACACTAAGGACAGCTTCTATATAATAGCAATGAATGGTTTTGGATTTAGAACCAAAATCTACTTTATATAATTTACCGATCGGTGAATTATATAAAGTAAACTTTGATAGAATTTTTATTCTCTTCAACAAAATTTGAAATTCTTTAATTTTTCCGAAATTGTCAACAGAAATGGCCTAATATTTCACCTACATACAATACCAGAAAGCCTCACTTGATTTAACTTGAAACCTGGAGAAACTTGAACCTAAATTTTATTTTTCAATAAAGGGAGCCTAAAAGTTCAGAGGAAAATTCCACCTCGCAATTTAAGATGTCGGAAAGAGCTTCGATAAGACTAAAACAAATATAATAGCAACAATAACTCAATAGTATAACTTACGTGCTGGACCAACCAATCAATGGATTCTCCCATCTTTCCTGATTATCCAGCTCAATCTTCCATTTTTTGACATTCGCCCAGCCTGATTGTGTTGCCTCACGTGCCGGTCGATATATACGTGCTCGACGACTGCGTAAAAAATCCATAGGTACACCCGAAAGATCTAACGCTTGCTATAATGCTATCAGAACTTCTGGTTTTAAAATTCATACATTAGCTCTTACATCAATAATATTACTTGATAAGAGTTGTACTGTTGATATATATGTTTTCTATCAATGGCACTCACCTCCAGATCCATCTAATAGTAAATTTGACCTGGAAACAAACAAACCTCTCGCATTTCATCCGAAACTTTAATCTTTGTCGGAACTTGTGATGGTTCCAATACATCATCAACCGATTTCCGGGTTATTGTTGAAATCGGATAATCAGTAGGTGAACCACCAGTATTACTCGCAAAGCAACGGATTCCAAGTGCACTTACTAAGTTAACGGTTCGTGTGGATAACATTTCAATAGAAAATCTGCAAAACATATTACGAAACGATGACAACAAATGAATAGTATCATTTCCACTGGTCATTTTGCAATTCATCTCTTGCAATTTTTTCTACAGCCAGTTCAGAAAATGAAAAGTATCCATTCCTGACTATTTAAAAGACTTAAATAAATTATCATTATGCTTTTTTTCCAAAAACTGACACTATGGGTCGAAATACTTTTTGATATGCTTCTTTTGTTCTTTTTTGCTTCCAGATATCTTCAGCTATAATTCCTTAATCCTCGCCCGACACATTCTACCTTTAGCGCCATCACCCAGAATAGCCCCTTATCGCTAGCTCACTTCCACCCCAAATTGTTTAATTAATTAAACAACCACTTCCATCACTCGACACACTTAACGGACAATATGCGGTCCGTTAGAACTATGCTCGGACAAATTCGCTGTTCAGCGTAAAAGTTTTCTTTTCTGGAATATAATTTTTTAGTGGAATTTTCAAGGTGTGGTGAGAATATGGTAAGTTATTCATTATCATTAATTGGTATTTGTTAAATGGAATAAATTGTCCTGCTTTATAATTTCTACCATTTCTGGAAACGGAATGATTCATTTATTGTACTACATTCTGATACTTTTTTCTACTATGTATATGTTCAGTAAACACCATTGAATTGCTTCAGGGTAAGCTCAAGAAAACTCGAAAAATTGCCACGAAATTGGCAAAAATAATCAAACCAACTGACTCTCGAATGTTTGTTTGTTTAGTTCTTTAAAAATTTAGTTTGATAAATCAGTAGTATTGTTTTGGTGTAATGATTGATGCATCAAAGCATAAGATCAAATCATCAACACTGAAACATGTCATGAAGACTATGTAAATAATATTAAAATGATTGAATTATTTAAGGTAACCGAGGAAAGCTTAACAAAGATCAAGTGTTGGAGTTTGTAATGACTAAACTTTAATCCCTAATAAGCATGCCACCGATATTAAAACAAGTAGCTCGAGTCGTTGAGTGTCTAACCTGTGGATAGATTAAAAATGGAAGTGGTTCTACGGTTAAGTCTGTAACTTAGCGTAATAATGTGAAAGGATTGTCAATATCAAGAAGTATAATGCAAGAAACAATCCAGTATAGTTATAAGTAGATTACTTGCTTTCAGTAAAGAAAGTGATCGCGTTATCAAGAAGAAGAACAAAGACGATAAGCAAGCGTTGAAAATTGTCGAAGCGTACGTCATTATCTTTCTTTTTTTTCCAACTTTCATTTCCTAATTTTTGGTTCATTATTTTTGATTTATTCACTTCTGTCTCGTAATTTTCAGACCGCAAGTATCAACAGCAATGTTCTTGAAGTACAATACGCAACTTGGACCACCATTTCACGTTATTATCGATACGAATTTTGTGAATTTCTCCATTAAATACAGAATCGACATTATGCAGGGATTTATGGATTGTTTATATGCAAAAAGTTCGTTTTATAGTAAAATGTCATCTTTCGAAATCAATTCTTAAAAAATTGGAATTAAGATTTGGATTAATTCCCATCCACAATACTTTTTCATTTACAGCGATACCATATGTAACGGACTGCGTCTTGGGTGAATTGGAAAAACTTGGACAACGATGCAAGGTTGCTCTTAAAATTATTAAGGATAGTCGGTTTAAACGTTTGTCATGCTTTCATAAAGGAATTTATGCCGATGATTGTATCGTCCAAAGGGTTACGCAGGTATATCTAATTGTTTTTATTCCAACAGGAAATGCAAGGAATATTCCTTAAACTTCAAGAAAACATAGAATGTGCTTATTTACTTTTTTCTTTGATGGATTGAAGGATATAATGGGATCGGATGAAATCATATTTCTTTTCAAACCCATGCAAAATCATATTTCTCGTGCGGTTATGATACATATCCAAAATACGCTATATTAAACGACTTTAAAATCTAAACAGTTAAACCAAAGTGTGGATCTTTTAATTTTATATTCGCTGATTCGCTCTTATTTTAGCATAAATGTTATATTGTTGCAACCTGTGACAAGGATTTGAAACGACGGATTCGTAAAATTCCAGGTGTCCCCATCCTGTATATTAGACAACATCGATTCTCAATAGAACGTATGCCTGATGCATATGGTGCTCCCGTGAACTAATATCTCATGATTTCGAAATATTTTCTGTGTGAAAAAAATCATTTGTTACTGGAAAAAATGGTGAAAATGAACTACATACTACATGTCACTTCTCATTTCTGTATTTCGAAATTTTTTTTTTGAAGCTAAGAAATGTAAGGGCTATTCTAGGAGCAGCGAGAACAAATTATTGTCATACTGCAATTGTTCGACTTTAATATATCCGCTTTCGATATTACTATAATGTCAGTTATGTTAGGCATAGATATTGCAGGAGCTTTTTGTTGGTCTGTTCACTTAGAACCTATACTTATTGTATTTCTTATTATTTATATTCTATGTTGAATAAAACGTGTTATATCAGGATATAGTGCAGCTTTTCTTTATAAATAGAGTAAAATATGATATAACTTAGAAGCATTTCAAACCAATTAGAAGCAGTGAAAAAACATGAGCAAGCAGTATAATATTTAATGCCAATAAGTTATATTATTCGATAACAGACTAAACTTTAGTTTACAGTGAAATCGACTGTACATAGACAATCTCATGCATGTTATGCGTATAATCCGAGTCGATAAACTTTTGTGGCAAGGAATGAGTGAAGAATGAAAACGACTGGTTTTGGTGATGAAAGCAGGTCGATTTCCTGAAAATATAGATGTATTGATATCCGCGATTTGATTTCTACATCAGAATTTGAGTTGCTAAGTATTGTTCAATGTATGACAGATGCACCTGTTCGCCGGAAGGTGGGCCAAAATCAATCCACAAGAATCTCTTCCCGTCGTCACCGGTAGCCCGGATAGTTTCAAATGGGTACTGCCATCGAATTTGGCCGTCATGACTAATCATACTTAAGCCTTTGTCGAGCTGCAATACCAACTCGCATTGCTCATCTTGCCAAACGCAAGCTGCAAATTATCCAGGCAATATTACTGGAAATTATCATTTTAAAGATTCCCATATTATGCTTTAAGTTTGGGTTTTCTAAAATGACAAGCACGAGGTGCTTATCATTTCAAGAAGTTTAAATTAGAGTTAATTTGAATTTTATTTGTAATTTGTTCATGCATATTTTGCTTATTAATATAAAGAGTGAAGAGCTTCTCTTGATGCTAATAAGCAAAACATGCATGAACAAATCTGACGTCTGAGACAAGTGACTCAATCTTAGACACAGAACCGACTGTACATTATGTTGCAGATCACATTTGTCTTGTTACTTACAAAACAAAATCAAAAACTAACGGCATGAAACTTGACCAGTTTTGGTGCATGCCTCGTAGGTACATGTAACGATACTTTTTATCCATGAAGCTAAATCTCGATGTGTTTCTACACGTAAAACATGTGAACGAACACCTTGCTGTGTACCTGTTCTTGTTGTAAATGATATCACATCTGATAAACCAATTATGACAGGAACAGTTCTAAAGACGATTATATCTTTACTTCACAATAAAGAAATAATTTATGATATTGTAAACTCATTGAGAGTTAATGCTGAAAATGTCGATTTCCAAACCGTTATTCCGTTTTCTTGCTCATCACTGTATCAATTAAATTACATAGGCAATCTCTAATTCATCACTTATTCAACGCAATTTCAAGAAATCATTATTACTGGTTAGTAAGTTCCGTAATTTTCTAAAATTATTGCGGTACAAAACATAGAACGTCATGATCTAGATTGTACACTGTTAATCGAATTATCTGATTAACATAATTAAATTAGCACATTTTACCGCGATGTCGTCTGCACCACGCGTGTAGCGATGAGCGGTCTGGTGACTTTTGGAGAAGCCCATTCCGATTTCAACATCGGGACGGAGTCGTAAAACAGTAAATCATTTAGAGTTAATGCTACAAACATCGGTCGCCACACAGTTATTCCATTTTCATTAAGATCCTGCAAAAAGAAATTATTAACATGGAGATACCAGGACTTTTTAGTAATGTATTATTTTTGATTTGAAAAAAATTGATGAATGCACGACAGCTTACCACTTTATCTTGCGAATTCCATCAAAGGCAAGGCCGATAATATAAAAAACATATTTATAATTAACTTCACAATTTTTTTGCATGACTTATTACTTTTTGAAGACGGAAAATATGTGCGATGTCAACAACTACAATCATTAAAATAATTGGAACCAACCTGCTCAGTGATCCATCCCATTTTGCGCACTTGTGGATTATTTCCAAGCATTAAATTCACTTGTGCCAATGCTTGCGTTAGCAGTGCGCATGAACAAATGTGTATAGTTTCGAACCATGCATCCGCTTCTAATGAATTACTGCATCTGTAGAAAAGCGAGTACTGTTTGTAAAATTAAGAAAAGTTGCTAAAATACTTCTTTCGTGGAAAAATTCGTCTCAGATTCATTTTACAGTATCTTACTCATCTTTAATATGCATCAAAATATAAGAAATTGGAATAACACTTAGTGACATTTTGGAACATACAAACATGGCGTAATGAAATGTGAAACGAATTTATACACTGTCATTAACGATAACTAATAAACGACCTAAACAAAAGCGTATATCGTCCGGAAGGTGATATTATTTCAAACATTCTATTCTCGACATCTTCAATTTGGAGAGTCGTACGTGTCACAAAGGCCAATTTCAAACCAATGCTGCGAATTCGGTCATGCGAATCATCATCCCACTGAATACGTTCCATCCAGTTTTCACGTTGAGCGCACATATCCCGCATGAAACGAACTAAAATTTGGAAATATTTTTCTTTCTCTTCGTCGGCTTTCTTGTGGGAACCTTTAAGGTTTTCAGAATTAAGATCTCAGCATTTTCTCGGCTATGCCTGGGATCTTTTACTACTTAGTACCTAGTGAAGGAGTACTAGTAAAAGGACTACCAAGTAAAAAAAAAAAGAAAAATAATTCTCAATAAAATCAATATATAATAATGACTTTAAATTAATTATAGAAGGGAAACTTACCGTGCAAGTCGACAATACGTCCAGCTTTCTTAAGTGCTCTAACAGCTTCATCATGTGTAGCATCCTCTAATGATTCACCGTTTACCGCAACGATAGTGTCACCAACAAACAATTGCCCTGTTTCATCTGCTGCCATACCTTTGAAAATTTTGCTGAAAATATTCTTTTCAATCAAATTTCAGAAGAATCTAATATAAGAAAAACTTTAAAAAAATAAATCTAAATAACAAATATATAAAATATTAAATAATAAATATACTCAATTAATATGATATATAATGTCGGACAAACACAAAAAATAAATCAAATAAGTATAAAAATAAAAATGATTGAAATGTAAGGTAACCTGATGATAATTGGCATATCATTATCACGGCCGCCTTTGATGCTAATCCCCAAGCCACTACCATCGTGCTTTACTATTCGAACCGTACGGATCTCAGCGCTCTGTCCGTGACCGGCATCTGCCGGTGCGCTTAATGTTAATGCTGTTTCATCCAGCGTAGCGCAAACTTTGACCCACTCACCGGCAATGTAAACATCCAGGAAAGATCCCCTCACCGATGCCATCTTTGTAGTTTCATCATTCTGCAAAAATCACGTGCCACATCGGTTATCTCTTCCCATTTCACATTAATGTTCTCTAACGAAATAAAACTTTACATCTCTCAATTCTTAACAACTTTAATCCAACAATCAGATAAGAATTTATAATTAATCGTTTTCCACTGTTTCATCAGGACTATTCAGTCACATCATGTCGTGTATTTCTTATAGTTTGTTTTTATGGTTTACTCTTTTTATAGTTTACTATAAAAGATACACATGACGTAGTGTGATTAAATAGGCCTGATGAAACATGAAATTTTTTTCAATCAATTTGATAATTGCAAAAAATCGTTCTTTAAGTGATTTTTATTTAAAAAGAAAAAAGAAAGTCAAAAAAATGCCAAAAAAAGATGAATAGATGAAATGTGAAGATTTCATAGAGAATAAATTATTGAAACAAGCAAATTGAGGAGCAATATTGATGTTAGCTAGATGCTTATTTTCTTCAATATGGGAAGAGAAAAATACTAAGCCTAAAATCTTTGATTCATCATTAAGTTTGCCCATAGCTGATGAAGAGAAAAAGAGTGAGCAAAACGGTTTAATAAACTGAAAAGCTTTGCATTCAAATATCCTCTCCATCTTAGAACGTTCTAACCCAGTCGAGCGAAAAGGACCTCTATTGGGCAATATTTTTTAAAAAATTCGATATAAACACTTGATTGGATGATAAGAGCAATCATGTGTTATCATTCTTATCATTTTTTGTCGCAAATACGTTATTACTTTTAGCCATTCCTATCGAATTGCTAATGGTCGAATAGAACCGACCATAAGATTTATGATTTTGCGCTCTTATGTCGAGCTTTCTTAAATTTCGAATGATTTATAACTTTTTTCGGTGTGTCTACCCAATACCTCTTGAAGTATGCAATTACTACGCACTCATTTTTCGTAAATGTTTCAAATTATCTATCCCTTTTCCTTTTAACAACTTAAATATGATTGGGTTATTGGGCTATGTCGATGACAACAATTTTTATCCATTTATGATTGCAATTTATTCATAAACAATAATGTTACTCTTATTTTTCTGAAGTATTCAATAACCGTTTGGAAAAAATTTTCAGTTTCTCTAAAACTTAAAATTTTTTAAACTTTAAAATGTGATTCTCACGATTGAAATGAATGCCTAACGAATATGACCTGCTACTTTTATGATGAACTTTGCCCCCTGTCCTTTTTCTTACAATCTCGCCCATCCCTTACACCGTCCTTGTGACTCAACTATCCGAATCACTCCAATGGAACTTTTTCACT